TTTGTCTATAAATACCAACACACCCCCTAGCTTGCAAACACACATAACACACTCACCCACACACACATTCGGTTAGAAGGAGGGAGGAGAGCAAGAGAGAAAGGAGTCTAGAGAAGAAGAGGAAGGGAGAAGAGAGCATTCTTGTGCAAAATTAGCAAGTAAGCCACCAACACAACCTTCTCTTTCATTTTCCTTTTTTAATACATATTCCTAAGAGTTCTAAATAATGTTTTCAGATCTGTTGTTACTGAGTTCTTATGTTGAAAATGCTAAGAGTTGAGTATTGATTTCATCTCTCTTGTATTTCCTCCATTTTGGCACAAAACCATCTCTTTTTATACCAATCTCTCAACTTTCCAAGGGCACTCTTTCAAGCAAATTTTCTGAGTTAAATATATGTTAGTTAGCATGTTTTCTTCACAAAATAAACAAAAACTCTCCCTTGGTGGAACCCTTTTCTCATAAATCTTCTTGTTTGGACATAGTACCTTAAAATCTGTTTTTTTTTCAGCCCACTTCCAGAAATTCTAGAAAGATGTACAAAATTATTCTGGACCTCTATTTTATGTCAAAACCTTCCTTAAGGTGTTAGCTTTCAACTAAAATTGTTTTCATAAAAAAACATTAAGCGGTTTGCAATAAAATCAAGTTTCCGTAACAGGCGACGGATCTGGACAGATTCTGGACAGCACTGTACCATTTTCTAAATAACTTAAAATCTGGAAAAGTAATCCTATTTCCGAAAAATGTTCCAGAAACTAGATCAAATTCTCTACGAACCATAGGAAGACCAAGCCCGGTGGAAGATCTAAAATAGTCCTTTCATTTTAATCTTTATGTGATGCTAAATTTGGAAAATTTGTTATGCATGGATGTTTTATGCCCTTGTATTCATGAAAATGTTTAATGGCCTATTATCATATCTTGGCATAATGTTGTATGGGTATGTTATGTTATTTATCTTCTTGAGGAGGCATGCTTATGTGAATTTTATTTTATTGTTTAGTTGGACTAACCTTGACTTAAAACACTTAATTCAACGGGAAACCTAATTGGGTGGGTATTGGGTTTTCGAACACTTGAGTAATGAAAAAATGAGAAAATGTGATATATGGTTTGTTGGGATGCGTTCCCTATTCGAGGTTAAAACTTGCGCAAGTGGTTTTCGGGACCCTTGAACGGAGCGGTTGTATTCGGACCCTAGGTGGTTTGGTGTAAGGAGGGATTCGGGCAAGGCCCTATTTTTACCGTCTCTTTTGAGGCCCTGCGGTTGGCGCTACGCGGTATATAACCGTTGGTAGGCATCCGAGGTTAGTTCTGCAACAAAGCAGCAAAAGAGGGGGTATACCGAATAATCCGCGTCCGATTCTTGTGATTGGGAGGACGAAATCTCTTTGGGGGGATTTCTAGTTTACTAACATCTGACCTAACTCTTTACTTATTTATTTGAATATCATGCTTTACTACTTTATGTTATATTTGTGATTGTGTATTGGATTGGGAAAAAGGGACGGGGTGTGTGTGTGTGTTTACTGGGCATTCAAAGCTCACGGCGTATCATGCCAGGTGACGAAATGGAACTTATAGCTGGAGACGTCGAACCTAAAACCTTTGAAGACTTCTGGCTATCCTAGAATATTAGAAGTTTCCTTTTGGATATTTTGTAAGACTCATTTGAAGTTTAAAACTTTCCTTTTGGGGTGTAATGTAATGGAACAATCTTTTGAATCAAGTATAATTGTGGTTGTTATGTATTTATATTCAATGTATGAACCTTATCGTTGCTTATGAGACCTTGTGTCAATGCCTTGTAAGATCTGTCAAAAAGGTAGTGCGCTGCCTAAGAAAGCTGGACTTAGAAGGGAGGCTCTTTGACTCCTCCGGCGATCTAGGATCTTACTTGGTTATTGGCCATAGGACTCACCAGTGACTCTTCCTTAACTGCAACCTATAGTGTAGAATCGGGGCGTCACAATGTTAGCTAAGAGGTCTTTAGCGACTGCTTTCTGGCGGCCCATCTCAGCAACAAAAACAGTTCGCCATCGTCGTTGGCGTTGAGATGGTGGGATCAATTGTGGAGCTGAGGTGGATGGCAGCTCTACTGGATATGAGGTTGACCCTTGATCTGGCCGAGATGAGGACACTGTTGGAGGAGTTGTGGCAGAATGGGGAGATTGGCTTTTCTTCCTCTTTGGGACGTCAGGGAGTACCGATTTGTAGGTTGTGATGAAATTGAGTACCAAGGGGGCTCTGCCCTTGTGGACTGCCAAATCCAATAGCTTCTTCAAACCCTTGCTGGGGAAAAAGGACTTTCGGAAGCCTTTTTCTGGTTGGGGAAGAGCTGCAAGAAAAACAGACATTTGAACAAACGAAGTATTGAAGACTTTAAAGACAAAGTAAGTATAAACACTGGGCTCTTACCATTACCCTCTACAAAAACTGTTCGAGGAAGAGGGTAGAGGTGGAGGTCCTCATCTGGAGCGAACTCCCAGTTCCCCGAGATAATGAAGTAATCATCCCCGGCTCCCTTGTTGGATTCTGGGAGGTCGGCAACGATTTTATACTCTGTGGACCTCGGCTTGAGGTAGTAAATATAGCCTTTCTCGTTTTTAAGGCCACACATGGTGTAGCAGTATTGGATGTCGGCTAAGGTAACCCTAGCATTTTCTTATTTGGCTAAGGCTATTATACCATTTATGACTCAGTAGGAATTGATGGCAAGTTGCATTGGGTTCAACTTATAGTAATGGATTATCTCACAAAAGAGGATGTTGAGTGGGAGCCTAAGTTCGCACTCGATAAAAGCTACAACGGGGAAGGGCATAGAATCAGTTGTAGGCATAATGGAGTCATCCTCCCCAGCCAACCTCAGATGAACGTCGGCTGAGATGTCAAACTCCCACCTAAAGTGTTCTAACTTGGTCGGGGTGTCTACCCTATGCTTCCACATACCCATAACGTCAGCTTAAATTGGAGGAGTTGGATTTCAGAAAGAAGGTGTTTTGTAAGAGTTATAAGGACCTCGGAAAAAACCTAAAATGCAAGCTGGGGTAAGAATTTGTGGGGATCGTTTCGGTTCTTCTTAGAATTTGTGGGTTTTATAAACAAATCCCAAACCTAGATCTATAGAAACGAAGATTGGAGGCAAGAATCTGGAAAAAACACGGCAAACAAAAACAAGAGCAATGATTTAGAATCAAGAAAATGGGTGAATCATCAAGAACATTGTGACAGAGTGTGTGCCAAGGTGCAAGGTCAAGAATAGTGGCAGAATGAACAAGTATGTAGGTATTATGTGTATATTAAAGAACGGTTTGGGCAAAAAGCAAAATCGTGAGAAAAATATGCTCAGAATACATGGTTGGATTCAAAAAGACAAATGTGAACAAACATTGCAATTACAGTATACAGATGTAACAGTTTGAGGAAGAGTAAAAATCAAAACGAAGGAATAGTGACTTACAAGGGAAAATTAGAGTCGCTGAGATCAGATGGTGGCAGCAACCGAAAAAGTGCAGCAAAAATCCTCGACGGAGAGGAGTGAATAGAAGTAATTGCAGAAAGCTTTGCAAAAACGATAATGACAGATTTGGGAGAAAAAGTTATAGAGAAAGAGTTGGGTCCTTGAGAACGAAGGATACAAAAGTGAAAAGACGGAGAGAGAAAGTTGATTTTGATCAAAACGCAGAGAATGGCGGCAAAAAGTCATCAATACATCTAGAGCAACGTGCTTACCAAACGGCGCACCCAGGCACAAGGCGACTTACAAGCGCGTATCGGATACAGCTCAAAGAGAGAGAGACGCGTGACAAGAACGGTTGAATAGTCATACGTGACAGCTCATACGCGTGATAAAGCTCTTGAAATTCTTGATTTAATGGAGCAGTACCTCGGCTTGGAGGATGATCTCGGCTGAGAAACTTGAACAAAACTTGGTTAATGGTTCTGAGGCATTGATGGAAGCAGACTGTAGGTCTTGGTCATACTGAGCCAATGAGTTCTTACTTCGGCAATGAATTAAGAACCAAAGCTTAGCCAACGTTATAGAAGGAAGTATTGATATAGGATCCATCACCTCAGGATGCCGAGGTAATAGAACCTAGGGAGCAGTTGTGGGGATATATTTTATGAGTACCAACACGTGGCCAAGGTGACATTGACGTGTCAATCGGGGTGCCACGTGTCCTGGTCGTGACGCCGAGGTGATCTCGGCTAGGCCGAGGTTATCTCCGAAGATATCGGAGTCCGGGATAAGCGAATAAGGGACAAGAGTCCTAGAATGAGAAAAGACTTCAGCTTGGATAAAGACAAAACTCTTAGGGAGTTTATCTTTATCTATTGGAGAGTCTAAGCTAAGTACTGAGCAGAAGTCCATTAAAGCTAGGTTTTTATTTGGACTAGGATTGTGTTGGCTATAAAAGAAAGGCACCCCCATGGGTCTAAGGTACGCAATTTATATTCTGAACGGTGAGTTTAGCACTTGATCTATCTTTAAGAGATAACTGACTTGATCATTGGAGTGGCTCCGGGTGGACGAACCACCGTCGGAATCTCTTCTTTTTGTTGCAGGTCAATCAGGCGCCATCTATTCTACCAGTACTCTCCAGCTGAATACTGAGTTGGCAGTGTGGCCAGAAATTCACTCACACATCTTTTATACTACAAAATCTTAATACAAGGAATCTAAAAAAAATTCTCCAAAATATAAAGTTTTTTTCTTTTTTTTTTTCTTTTCTTTTATTCGATTTTTCTTTGCTTTTTCTCTTTTCAAATTCAGCAACCAAACAAGGGTATAGTTGTATTTGTATTTGTATTTATTTAGCCGTTGTAGCCCTCACACTCACTCAAGAAAAATGAGTGAGAGCATTAATTAGTGCTATCACTAATAACGTGACAGTAGGTCTCACTAAAAATGATTTAATATTTTAACTTTGATATTATATTTTTTTTCTTTTTTATTAAATATCATGTCATTAATGAGAGCTCCAAAAATTAGTGCGCCCTTGTCATTGTTGCTCACTCCAACCCAAACTCTCCGAGGAGAAGGAGAAGCTCTGCTGATAAGCTTACAACAGGTCAGTCTCTCTCTCTCTCTCTCTCTCTAATCCATTCTCGTGTCTAGTTTGTTCTCTCTTCGTCTTGCGATTGGTCTGTGATTTATTGTTTCCCTTCTCTTATCTCTCTGTTCTTCTTTCTTTGCAATCTCTTATGGCTGCCTTTCCTTTTGTGTGTGTGTGTATATATATATATTCAAGTATGTGTGTGTTAGGTATGTATAGATCCTCACAAGATACAACAAAATCAAGTTTCTCAATCTTTTATATATTTATGTATGTATATAGCTTTTTTACTGTTCTTATCTCCCCCACATTCCGCCAAAATTGACAACAACATGAGAGAGAAAGTAGAACATTAGATCGGATTTAGTATTTGCATGTAATAAGAAGTTTCATACCCCACTGGAAGGGAGGGTTAAGAATCTTTCGAAAAGATTGACATTCAGGTTAAACACCTCATCCATAAATATATATAAAACATGATGAGATTGCAATTGTACATTTCAATTTTTTGGTTATTTGATAATTGAGGAAAATCATTTAACATCTTTTGAATAAGGAAAATCATTTACCAGTTTTGTATGATTTGATAAATGAGAAAAACGTTTAATAGTTATTGGAAGTGGAAGGCATTTTTGAAAAAAGCGTGACAGCGTTCACCCCGAAAGGACTGTACACTTTATATATAATAGAATAGATAGGATAGATGAATACCAAGAGTGTACCCGCAAAGTGTCAAATTCAAAACAAGCAAATCAATTGTTTCTGTTAATTAGGAAAATTTAAACTCTAAAGGCTAACTATTGGGTTTGTAACTATCTATCTATTCTGTTTCCTTCTGTCAATGTAAATAAATGTTTGCGCTATATCTACCATTGAATGTATACTGTGAAACATGACCTGTCCAATATTGTGCTCCACATGCTCTATGAAATGCCCATCATGATCCTACTTTCCATTTAGTTGCTGAAAGATTGATAAAGAGAGAGAGAGAGAAAAGAGAGAGACTGGAATGAAAGATTGGTATGGTATAGAATGTTATTTGAATAAAGAGGTACACTCTCCGTTATATAGGAGAGAACATTACAAACATCATCATGCCAAAAGTGTATCCACTAACTGAAAATAAATGCACTAATCTAAAGCCTAAAGCACTAACATAAAATATATTAACAAATATAAAAGTGAAAGTGTGTGGTAGTGGGTTGACAGCTACAAATGCACTATGACACTATGATGGATATTGTATGTTAACAGCTCCCCGCAAACTCAAGAAGGGTAGGCATCAACCAAGTTGAGTTTGGAAACAAGATCACGGAAGCGCCCAGGAGGATGAGCCTTGGTGAAAATATCAGCAGGTTGATCGGCAGAAGCAATAGGGAGAAGATGAACAGTACCACGTATAACATACTGTCGAATGAAATGACAATCAATCTCAATATGCTTGGTGCGATCATGAAAAACATCATTGTGAGCAATCTGAATGGCACTTTGATTGTCACAATAAAGAGAGGTAGCGCCAGAAGAGGAAACACTCATATCAGTGAGGAGCCAGCGAAACCAGAGAAGTTCCTGAGTAGTATCAGCAAGAGCTCGGTATTCAGCTTCGGTGCTAGAACGGGTAGTGAGGGATTGTTTCTTGCTACGCCAAGTAAGAAGAGAATCCCCTAAGAAGAAACAGAATCCCGTGGTGGAGCGCCGATCCGTAGGATCCCCAGCCCAATTAGCATCAGAAAAGGCACGCAGTTCAAGAGAGGAGGAAGCAGAGCAGTGAAGGCCATGGAACAGAGTGCCTTTGAGGTATCGAAGGATATGGAGTAGAGCAGTATAGTGGGGAGTGCGAGGAGCTGACATGTACTGACTAACAATGTGAACAGCATAGGCAATGTCAGGACGAGTCACTGTGAGATAGACAAGACTACCGACGAGCTGGCGATAAAGAGTAGCATCAGAGAGAAGAGTCCCATCGAGAGAA